AGCCAGGGATGGCGGGAGAGCCCAGCCTCTGAGCCCCTGGGAAATGTCTGTGGACCTGGGCTGGCCGCACATTCAGGCGACATGCCCCACACACAGACATCCTGGGACAAGTGTGACGATGTTAAACCTCCTAGGTTGTGTAGCCTGAGAGTTACATGACGGAGTGTGACCACATGAAAATTCTGGGGAATGTCAGTGCCGGTTGATGGGGTGGGGAGGGCGGGGCTTTAGGGGTCCTTTGTCTTCCCAGTCACCAGGGCCCCAGCAGTTGTCACCTGCCCTTAATCCACTTGGGGGAGGGTGGGCTTCCTAGACTGAAGGAGAGCAGGGGCAGCTGGCACAGATGGCCGTCAGGGAGGGGCAGCCCTTGTGAGCGGCTCGGGGGTTTAGCAAGGAGCACAGTGAGAGCTAAGGCTTGGAATCGGATGTAGCCGTGAGATTCGGGACTTGGTAAGGGAAGCCCCCCGGCAGACTTGAGAGCAGCCTTTCTGTGGGGACTGGGAAGGTGGTGTTTGTTCCTCTCAGGAGAATGGTTTTCCCGCCTCCAGGCTCAGCCTCACTGGGTGCGGGAAGCCTGCTCTGTGGTGTCACGCTGGTGACTGCGCACTGAGCTTGGACTTACCGCACTCTTCATCCTTGGCAGAGACCGCAGCATTCAACCGCGTCAAGAGTGTGTTTCTTTTGTTTAGTAGTGAGCAAGGAGTTTAAAAGTACATGCTTGGAGCCTGGCCAGCGTGGCTCAGTGGTTGAGCATTGACCTATGAACCAGGAGGTCATGTTTTGATTCCCGGTCAGGGCACATGCCCGGTCTGGATTCCCAGTGGGAGGCATGCAGAAAGCAGCCAATCAATGATTCTCTCTCATCACTGATGTTTCTATCTCTCCCTTCCTCTCTGAAATGAATAAAAGAATATATATATATACACATACATGCTTGGAAATTAGGTTTAGGTGTTTATAGTTGTCAGTCACCTTTATATGAGCTTATGTAATCACAATCCAGGACAGGCAAAGCGGCGTCACCATTTGTTAATGACCAGAAGCCGGGGGGATGCCGTGTGTAGCCACATACTGGGGTGAGGAGCCAGAGCCAGGCCCGGCGCTCCGCCGCCCAGCACTTGTCACGGTGCCTCCTGACTGAGCGCGGGGCTGCAGGCCTGCGAGTGTGCTTGTGCAGCGACAGGAAGTGGTCCTCCCTGGTTCTGCTCACAGACACAGAGAGACGTTCCCCTCTCCATCCCAGTGCCGCCCTGGTGCCAGTGCAAGTCATCGCTTCATTGTGGCCATAGTTCCTGAAGCTGTTTCCCCAAAATGAGTCCCTGGCTTCTCTGGGCCATGTGGTTCGTGTCCTGGCCCTGTGTGACTTCTCATTTCTAAGTGAACAGGCCGTGGTTGCTGTTGCCTCAGTCCTCGGTGCTGTGGAGACAGCAGGGTGGTCGGTGACCTTGATGCCGGGCTGAGACGCACAGCCTGGGCCCACAGTCACATGGAGGTGGGAAGGGTGCCAGGTGCATGCCTGCTGCTTAGACCCACTTAACGGCAGCACCACCCCATTTCCAGAGACCGTTCTCTCTGGCTCTGGGTGTGAATTTTGACCCCTGGTTTTAATATTCACAGGTAGTAGAACTGAAATGTGGCGGAAAGGATATCCCTGTCACCAGCGCGAACCGGATCGCATACATCCACCTGGTGGCCGACTACAGGCTGAACAGGCAGATCCGCCAGCACTGCCTGGCCTTCCGGCAGGGCCTGGCCAACGTGGTCAACTTGGAGTGGCTGCGTATGTTCGACCAGCAGGAGATTCAGGTCTGTGCCCGCAGGCACCTGGGCACTGGGCCGGTGTAACACGGCTTTCCTCCAGGTTGATGAGTTACATTTTTGTTTCAGGTACTGATTTCTGGTGCACAAGTTCCCATAAGTCTGGAGGACCTGAAGTCCTTTACCAACTACTCAGGTACGTTACTGCCACCCACTGTTTATTCCTGGAGATGTCCCCGACGACCGTATTCCCACAGTGGTTGTCAGTGTACGCTTTTTTGTAGCTAACACATTTTTAACAATGTGGGTTAAAACCCAGAGTGTATAGTGGGGCCCACAGACCTCCTGTTCTTGGCCTGTCTTCCCGTTCCCCTCCCACCGTGAGTCATGAATCTTCTTGGTACCTTTATGTTCACACGCACATTCCATTCCATTTCCCTCATCCTCACGCACTGTTCTGCTTTGTGTGGGGCTTTCTCCTCAGAACCTTCTTAAGTCTCTACTCACGGACATTGGGTGCTTCTGGTCTTTTCCTTTAAGAGCAGTGCTAGCCCAAAACCCACCAGCAAGAAAGGAAAACTAAAAATTGGGCCTTGTTGGAATCTTTATTTTTTTTATTAAATTAAACTTAAATGTTTCTGCTTTTCATGAAAATGAAAAACCAAAAAGAAGATACACAGATGGCCAATAAGCACATTGAAAGATGCTCAACAACCTTAGTCATCAAACTAAAACCATAAGGAGGTTGTTCAGAGTGGGAGTTGGTGGCCTTTGGGCATTTGTAAATTTTTAAAAAATTAACCTCGTGATATCCAGCCAGTGTGGCTCGGTTGAGCGTCATCCCATGCACCAAGAGCTCTCCAGTTTGATTCCTGGTTGGGTCACATGCCCGGGTGGCAAGCTCCATCTCCAGTAAGGCGTGTACAGGAGGCAACCAATTGATGTTTCTCTCTCTGGTGTTTCTGTTTCTCTTTCCCCCTCCCTTCCTCTCTCTGAAATCAATAAAAACTTTTTTCTTTCTTTCTTTTTTTTTTTTTTTAATTAACTCCATAGTCCTAGCTGGTTTGGCTCACAGACTGAAGGGTTGCGGTTCCATTCCAGTCAAGGGCACCTACCTCGGTTGCAGGCTCAATCCCCGTCCGCAGTTGGAGGGAGTGAAGGAGGCAGTGACGGAGACAACCAATTGATGTGTCTCTCTCACATCAATGTTTTTCTCTCAGTGTGTCTCTTCCTTTCACTTGCACTCTCTAAAAAATCAGTGGAAAAAATATCCTTGGGTGAAGATTAACAATAACAACAAAAATTTAACCTCGTGGACCTGGCCAGTTTTCACTCAGTGGTTAGAGCATCAGCCCAAGGACCACAGGGTCATGAGTTCGATTCCCTGTCAAGGGTATTTACCTCGGTTTCAGGTTCCCCAGCCATTATAGAGGTGCATGCTGGAGGCAACCAGTCAATGCATCTCTCATTTAGATGTTTCTATCTCTCCCTCTCCCTCTCCCCTCCTCTCTGAAATCAATAAAAAAAATTTTTTTTTAATGATTTCAGTTTGAGCTTTTCTTGTGTGTGTGAACACTTAAAGTATTTCATATATCAGAAAATACATGTCATAATACCACTTATATTCAACTTATTAAAGTTGAATAAGATAAAAGTAATATAGTAAGTGGTCCTGAGATTATGTCATTTTTGCTGCTTTAAAATATTGTTTCGCTTTCTCTATTCTCTGATTATACACTGTGCATAATTTACTTTTTAAAACCAAGAAAACTTTTCATCCATTTCAGTTTTATAAAATAGTAGTGGTCATTTATAAGTAATGAAATTACAGGTGATTTTTCTTCATTGTACTTTTTTTCTGTTTCATTATTTGATTGTATTAATTGCTTGACTTTAGAGAAAAAGTGACATTGATTTGTTTTTCCACTTATTTATGTATTCATTGTTTGTTCCTTGTATGTGCCCTGATCGGGGATTGAACTGACAACCTTGGTGTATCGGTACAGTGCTTTAACCAACTGAGTGGGTGTGGCTCAGTGGTTGAGTGTTGACCCAGGAACCAGGAGGTCATGGTTGAATTCCCAGTCAGGGCACATGCCTGGGTTGTGGACTCAGTCCCCAGTAGGGGGCATGTAGGAGGCAGTCGATCAATGATTCTCTCTCATCATTGATGTTTCTATCTCTCCCTCTCCCTCCCTCTCTCTGAAATAAATAAAAACTTTTTAAAAAAAAGAATAATATTTAAGCCATAGAAGCATATCCTGGGTGGTGCTGAGAGGTATGGTAGAGAGAGGAGGAGTTTTCTCCACAAAGGTCACTATTAGTGTGCTATCAAAGGCAGAGAAAATATACAGATCTTGTAATGGAGGAGCCCACACCTGAAACCTATATGTTCATGTGACCAACATCACCCCTATCAATTTAATAAATAAAAACTTTTTTTAAAAAAAGGAAATTATAGATTAATGTCCCTCATGAACATAGATGTAAAAATCCTCAAAATATTAGCAAACTGAATCCAGCAGCACATAAAAATGATTAAATCAAGGAGTATTTATCCCATGAATATCAGGTTAATTTAGCATCTGAAAATGTGTTGATGTATTGGTAATAAAAAGGACAAAACCCATATCATCATCGCAGTGGATGCAAAGAAAAAAGTAATTGCAGCTTTTGAGCATCTTAGCCTCTCCTCCCAGGAAAAAAATTCTCAGGAATCGAGGAATAGAAGGATCTTCCTAAACCTGATACAGAACATTGTGAAAAATTCACCGCTACCACCATGCGGCAGCGCGGTGGAGCCGAATGCTTCCCCGAGCAAAGATACTTGCTTTTGTTATTTTTACCCAACATTGTGTTGGGGGTTCTAGCTAGTACAGTGAATGATCTAGGTGGGCAGGGAGGGGGAAGGGAGGAGAGAAACATCCAGCTTGGAAAAAAGTGAAAGGAGTAAAACTTCACGAGGACAATGACCAGAGACAGGCCGCGGGAGCTGAAGAGCAAGGTGAGCAGGTTGCAGCATAGATCCATGTGCAGGAAGCAATTCTATTCTGATATACAATGGAATGGAATTATAAAACAATGTATTCAAAGGAGCATCAAAAAAGAATAAAATACAAGTTAGCAAAGTAAATGCAGACTTATGCATGGTTTACAGGAGACTTAAATGAATGGGGGACAGTCCGTTCTCAGGGATTGGAAGACTCAGTGTTGTCGAGATGCAATTCTTGCAAATTAATTACAGATTCAGTGCGACCATTATCAGGTCTCAGCAGCTCGTCTGTTGTATGTGGAAATGTAAAGGGCCTGGAGCACCTAAACAGTTGTGTCTGGCAGAGTTGAAGCCTAGACTCCGGTTCAGAGCTCCCATAGCGGCGCTGACCGCGGGGCCATCATGGAGCTCCGAGCGTGTCTTCCTGTTATGCTCATTTGATTTTTGCCTGTTTAATGATGCAGGGAAGCCCTAACCGGTTTGGCTCAGTGGATAGAGCGTTGGCCTGCGGACTGAAGGGTTCCAGGTTCGATTCCGGTCAAGGGCATGTACCTTGGTTGCGGGCACATCCCCGGTAGCGGGTGTGCAGGAGGCAGCTGATCAATGTTTTTCTCTCATCGATGTTTCTAACTCCCTCTCCCTTCCTCTCTGTAAAATATATCTTTAAAATAAATAAATAAATAAAAATGATGCAGGGAAAATATCCACGTAGAAAAGTGTGAATGTAGCTCTTTCCTCACCGTATGCAGAAACGACACAACCGGATTGCTGAGCTACAGGGAAGCCTCTAGCATACCTTAGAACATCTCCTGACATAGATTAGCAGAGATGTGCACCAAAGCGCAGTCCAGAAAAATGCTGATGGGAATGGAGTTTCTCAAAATGAATGCCTTTGTGTTTTAAAAGCTGCCTCTCAGAAGTGGAAAGGCAGGCAAGACTGCGAGAGAGCGTTCTAAATATACACGTGCCGGACATGGCCACTGTGCTGGTGGGTCAGTGGTTCCCGGAATCTAGACAGAACTGCTGTGTGAGCCCACACCCCACTCCTAGCGTGCTCCCCGGGCGGTCAGGCGCCGGAACCCGGACAGGTGCGTGCTCTGGAAGGTTCAGCCTGCACTGTTCACAATAGGCAGAGGTCTGTGCACACAGTGGGGGAGCGCTGTCTTGAAAGGAAGTTCAAACAAGACAACCCTTGGAAACAGTATGCCACGTGAAGTAAGCCAAATGCACCAAATGACAGAGTGCCTAGGACCGGCACATTCCGAGACCCTGGGCGGGAGGGGCCAGGGGCCAGGGGCCGGGCAGTGTGGGCAAGAATCAGCAGCGGCTGTATGAACGCCACTGAACTGCACACGCAGGAGGGCTTATGGTGAGTTTTATGTTACTACAGTTTTTAAAAAGCGAAACCAGCCTCGCCGCCTCTCTTCTGTTGAATGCCGCTCGGCCTTCCTCCAGGGTAACTTGAAAGGGTTTTGGGAGGGGACCATGCAGAAAGTTCTCCTCTTGCAGGAGGAATTCCGTGTGAAGTAACCCTGAGGGCACGTGTGGGGTTCCTGGAAATGTCCTAAAACTGGGCTGTGGTGATGGCTGCAAAATCTATAAGTTTGCTAAAATCATTTATTTATATAGATACACGTGTGTCTATTCATGTACCTGTAAATGTGTGCATGTGTCTCCCCTCTGTAATGAATTCCCACTGCTCTGAACTTGAACTCTCCTGTGTGTGTAAAGGAAATAATCTGAGGGCACATTGTCCCCACTCGGATCATGAGTCTAGAGAAGCCAGGCCAGCCAGGAAGTGTCTCCCCCGCTCACACCTTCGCCGATGGCAGTTGTGCCGGTGAATAGGGTTAAAATAGCATCCTATTCATGTTGGTGCCAATTAATGCATTTAAGATATTTTATTGATGTTATTTCTGTAGTATATTAACAATGAGGGAACAATATAAGGCCATTATTCCCATTTTAGGAGGCACTTAAGCAGATTAAAAGCTGTAAGTAGCAGATGTTACACTGTAGAATAGTGGTCTAATTGTCATCACGTCTCTGCCTCAGGCGGGACGGGTGGTAAAGCGAGTCGACGCTGAGATCGTGCAGGCGAGCAGCTCTCCCTGTCACAGAAAAGCCCAGGCCTGCCCTGCGGCGGGCGCCCTTCCCGGAGCTCCCGTTGCTCAGGGCTGCCCCCCTGCGCTCTAAGGGCTCTCCTAGCGAAGCTCCCAGAGCTCAGACCCGGCAGTCGCCCTGTGACACGGGTCCTTCCGAAGGCGCTGTTCCCCTGAACTTGCCGTCACCCGGGGCCGGCCTGAGGTGCTGGTGGAGGTGGCCGTCTGCCAGGAGCTGCCACCACCACGTGGTGACGTAGCGCCCTGTGGTGGGGCCCTGGGGACCCCACTGTGCACCGCTGCGTTTTCATACCACGTGTCACTTTGCTAGGAGGCTATTCTGCCGACCACCCTGTGATCCGAGCCTTCTGGCGCGTCGTGGAGGGCTTCACCGACGAGGAGAAGCGCAAACTGCTCAAGTTCGTCACCAGCTGCTCCCGGCCCCCTCTTTTGGGGTTTAAGGTACTGCTTTGTGCAATTGCTTTAAAACCCCTTGTAACTGAGGAAGGCAGTGGGATACCGTGTGGGGCTCTGGTGGCGGGGCACTTGGAGTCCGGGGAATGGCATTGATGTGCAGTGATAGGTGGCACCAGGTGCGTTGCCTTGTGCTGCGTCGGGAGCACTGTCCACTGGGTCTGTCTCCTGGTGCGTCCACTGTGCCCCCCGGTGCCTGCTGGTGGTCCGGTGAGCGCAGGGGCTGTGAGCCTGCGGGCCCACCTCGTCCACTGCACTGGCTGTCACAGCTGCTGCCTCCAGGTCTGTCGCGTGTCCTGGGCTCTTTGCAGCCCGGCTGAGGGAGGCAGGGTGAAAGTGGAGGCTGCGTCTGGGGAGAGGTGTGCGAGCAGAAGCACATTGTTCCCAGGTGCCCATTGTGACCTATTTTGTTACTTGGCCTTACTTCACATCTATAGAGTATTTGTAAGAATTGGGCAGAGGACACCGTAACCACAGTTACCAGTTGTTACGTTTGCCACCCTTGTTCTAGCATCTCTGTATGTTTCTGTCCTGAACTGTCTGAGGGTAAGTTGAGGAAGTGTCTCTCCTGCTGATTCCCTAAAACACAAGCCCTTTCCATAACCACAGCTGAATTACCAGAGGAAGAGGGCGGGACGGCGCTCACCTGTGCTCCTGCCACAGCCACCTGAGGGCTGGTGAGGAGTCAGACTCTGCGCGAGGGGGTGCAGAGGGGAGGCACGCAGCACGAGACACACGACCCAGAAACAGGTTCACATTCAGCCACAGGACAGACACGTGCGGGTCACCACGGTGACGTCCACAGAAGATCTTGTCTGTTCAGAGAACAGGCCTCAGGAACCGCTGTGTAGGCCACATCCAGGCCAGGAGCATGATCCCCCTCACTGACGGGTCTAGTGCCTTGGGCGCTGGGGAGGAGGGGCTGGGTCTGGAGGTGCTGCTGTGTGGGGACCTGGAGCGCAGGGCAGACCCAGTGAAACGTGCAAGTGCAGACAAAGGGGCTGCGGGAAGGGTTTCAGCAGAACCTCTATCACCCAGTGACAGACAGCGGCGACCATTACATTCTTATGCACGGAGGGTTCCTTGCCATGGGTGATGTTTCTAAAAATACTTCTGTTGATTTCAGAGAGGGACAGACAGACAGATACATCAATGATGAGAGAGAATCATTGATGGGCTGCCTCCTGCACTCACCTCACTGGGGACTGAGCCCCCACAACCCAGGCATGTGCCCTGACCAGGAATCAAACCGTGACCTCCTGGTTCATAGGTTGATGCTCAACCACTGAGCCACACGGCTGGACTGCCATCTGGTAATTTTTTCAGTAAAGCTTTTTGATTTTTGTTTTTTAATCTTTATTGTTCAGATTATTACAGATGTTCCTCTTTTTTCCCCCCCATAGCTCCCCTTCACCCGGTTCCCACCCCACCCCAGGCCCTTGCCACCCCACTGTCCATGTCTATAGGTACTGCATACATGCATATAAGATCTTTGTCCAATCTCTTCCCACACACCCCCACACCCCCTTCACCCAAGAATTGTCAATGTGCTCCATTTCCATGCCCCTGATTCTATTACATTCACCAATGTATTCTGCTCATCAGATTTTTTATTCATTTGATTTTTAGATTCACTTGTTGATAGATATGTATTTGTTGTTCATAATTTTTTATCTTTACCTTTTTCTTTTTCCTCTTGTTAAAGAATACCCTTCAGCATTTCATATAATACTGGTTTGGTGGTGATGAACTCCTTCAGCTTTTTCTTATCTGTGAAGCTCTATCTGACCTTCAATTCTAAATGATAGCTTTGCTGGATAAAGTAAACTTGGTTGTAGGTTCTTGGTATTCATCACTTTGAATATTTCTTGCCACTCCCTTCTGGCCTGCAAAGTTTCTGTTGAGAAATCCGCTGACAGTCATATGGGTAATCCCTGTATATTATTCATTATTTCAGTTAGTGTATGCTTAATTTCTGACTGGCCCTTTTCCATTTTTTTGGCATTCTCACTAAGATCCTTGAAGGTCTCATTAAGTTCCTTGGAAGTTTCTAGAAGATTCTTGAGTAACCTTATAACTGTGGTTTTGAACTCTATATCTAGTTGTTTTGCTTTCATCCATTTCTTTCATTTGTGACATGTTTCTTGGTCTCCCCATATTGGCTGCTTCCTAGTGTTTCTATATATTGGGTAGCTGATAGAGTGGCCTTGTGTGGTAGGTGTCCTATAGGGCACAGTGGCTAAGCCTCCCCAATCACCTGAGGTGCACCCCTTTGTGGGCTGTGTGCACAGTCTTGTAGTTGAGCCTTGATTGCTGTTGGTGTCACTGGGAGGAATTGACCTCCAGGCCAATTGGCTATGAGGACCAACTGTGTCTACAATGGAAGAGCTGTGGTGCAGGAGACACCCTTCTGGGGCAGGACTTGCTTCAGTGGAGCTTTGGTCCTCACTGAGTCTGCCTCTTGAGTGTGTCAGTTATGGATGTGAAGAGTTGTAATCTGGTATGGTCTCACACTGACCATTGGGTACACTGGCTCTTGGATCTCCAAGGAGGTGCAAAGTCAGCCACTCAGCAGGAGTTACAGAGAGATCTGCAGATTCCTCCTCTTTGTTTGGGGTTTGGAAGTGCCCAGACGAGGCCCAGCTGTGAAGCAATGCAGGTTGCTGCTGGTGGCAGCCTTGGGCCTTCTTTTGATAGCTTTGGGGCTCCCTGACCCAGCTGCAGCTTGTTTGACAGGTTTTAAGCTGAGAAAGGACAGGCCATTCATATGCAAAAGCTTGGGTGGAGTTGTAAATTGGGTAGGGCGAGGTCTCAGGGAATCTCCAGGGTGGAGCAAGCAGCAGTGGCTGCCAGTCAGCCCTGCACCGGGGGAGGTCCCAGCGCAGGAACCATGACCGTTGCCAGCACCTCCATCTGGAAAGAAAGCTGCCCACATTCCTGCCCCAATGCCAGACAGTCCCGTTTCTCCCCGTATGTGCCTGGGTCCCCCAGAGTCTCCCCCGGCACTGGAGCTCAGAGCAAGCCGGAACTTGTATCTCCCTCCCAATTAAAAAAGCGGCGCACCCAGGTGCCCGCCCGTTCCGCGCCTCCACACCTCCTACCAGTCTCAATGCACTTTCTTCTTTACCTCTCTGGTTGCAGTACTTCCACTCGGCCAGCTTTCCCGTGGGTTCTGAATGATAGTTGTTATGTGTTTTAGTTGTAGTTTTGATGTGGTTGTGGGAGGCAGCAAGTACAGGTGTTTACCTATGCTGCCATCTTGGTTCCTCCCAGCAAAGTTTATTATGACAGACCAGGCTTCCAGTATCTTCTGATTTCAAAACAACACCTAACCTACAAATACGAAAATTAAGCAAAATTCAGGCCCAGAGATTTCTGCCGGCACCTGGTCTGTCGAAGCCGACGGTGTTGGCAGTAAGCTGGAGGGCAGGTGCTGCTCCTGAGAGCCGGTGCCCGTGGTTGCGGCCTCTGAGTCCATCCGTGGGAACCAGCCTTCCCAGCCTGTCCCTGCTGATCCCTGGGCAGCCATAATTGAGTGCATTGTATTCTGAAAAATGCTGTTTGGGAAGCCATGAGATAGGCTTCCTATTCTAGGTCTTTTCAATGAACTAAAATATATTACATGTGGAATTTAAGAGGGTTTTTTTTGTTTTGTTTAAAAATCTTCAAAAAAATCTCTTTATTGTGAGAAGTACCAGAAGCCACTTACAAGGAATTTAAGAGTTTTTAAAGGTCTTTGCAGCTGTTGTAAGTTAGACTTCACATTGGGAAAATCACCTTCCTGTTTATTCCTATTCTTTCCCGGGCAGGCAGGCCGGATCGGAGGAGGGAGGAGGGCTGCCTGCAGCGAGACCCTGGTAGGAGGACGCGGACACACAGTTTACGCCCTGAGACCCTAGTGCCAGGTTATGGGAGAGCAGAAACATCAGCTAAAGCTAATTAAAGTTTAATATGTTCAATGACTGTGATTGTTACGGACAAAAAATCATTAAAGTGCTAATAGAAAATTGTTACGTTGCTATCAGGCCACATAATCAATGGAAGCTCTCCTCACTCTGAATTAATGCCAATCCGCGGCGCTGCTTCATTATGCGTGAGGTGCTGCCCTTGACTCCAGTTTCAGTGCAGAACTTCATTTTTCCTACTTTTAAGACTCCAAGTAGGAAATTCGATTAGCATTAGGAAAGGAATGCTGAGACGTGGCATTTAGCTGCAAAATAAATTCACGCTTGCCTTCACCCAGTCACATGACCACGTGTTTCCCCGGCGCTCACTGCCTGCCTGCGCAGTCCTTTCTCAGCAGATGCCTGATTTCCCGTGGGGCACTTGAGAGCATGGCCTGGAGTGGGGGCACTCGGAAGCTCAGGGAGGGGGGCACGGTCCTAGGCTTCCTGCTTCTCTCTCAGCTCCTGTTCTGACCTGTGTAAGAGACATTTAAAGTTTTGTACAAACTATAATTAGAAAAAAGACTTTTTTTAGCCCATTTCACATGCCACTTGTGTTGTTTAAATGGAGCTTGATGTAACTGTGGCAAACGCACAGAGGTCAGAGGTCAGAAGCATGTTCATGGGCTGTGCTCTTGCCATGTCCTGCCCGTCATAGAACGTGTGCTGAGTTCACGCACACGCGGGGCAGCATGGCTGACGTGCAGTGTCAGCCAGGCTTGTCCTGCTCAGGCCGTGGCAGGGCCTCACCCCGGTGTCCCTGTCAGAGTGGGGCCTGGCTCCCAGTGTGCTCTCTGGTCTCGCCACGCTGGTCAGCGGGCGTCATCATCTGTCTGGGTGGGTGTGTGTGGATGCAGACAACGTCCCTGTGGTAAGCTGTGTCATGTTCGGCATTTTAAAATTGGTTGAAGGCCATGCTGGCTGACGTCTTTCAGGAGCTGTACCCCGCCTTCTGCATTCACAACGGCGGCTCCGACCTGGAGCGGCTGCCCACAGCCAGCACCTGCATGAACCTGCTGAAGCTGCCCGAGTTCCAGGACGAGGCGCTGCTGCGCAGCAAGCTGCTCTACGCCATAGAGTGCGCCGCGGGCTTCGAGCTGAGCTGAGCTCCCGGGCGGCGACCTCTGCAGAGAAGCTGCGCGGCCTCCTCGTAAGTAGCTCCTTCCAGGCCCATGAGGACACTCAGGCTGGGCTCCCACCGCTCTCCTGCCCCTTTGTTTTTTACATGATTTCAGTCACTGTCACCTACTCAGAAGGGCATTGCTTTTCAAGTAACTTAAATTTAAAATAACATGTTAGGTGCCATGTGGCTCATTCAGTAATTTTGCCAAGAACACAGTTTTAAGACTAGTGGCAACTCAGTGAAATTAACCAAAGATACAGCTTTGGCATTGCTGATGTGCCCCTGGGTGAGGCTTCTGGACTGGGCGCCCCTGGGCTGAGTGCCCTTGGACTGGGCGCCCCTGGGTTGAGTGCCCTGGGACTGGGCGCCCCTGGGCTGAGGTGCCCTGGGCAGGCTCCAGGCGCTGCTGCTGTTCACACTGACTCTGTGGGTTGGGTGCTGACTCAGGGGCACTGCTTCTTGTGGGCTGAGCTGTTTACAAGCCTGATTGTTCAAACACAAGGCGTTTTTCCTGCTGCCTTTTCCCCCGAGGGCGAGGCTTGAAGAAGAGACACGTGGTCGTATGGTCCTGTGCTTTCTAAGCCATTGCTTCACAGGGACAAGCGTGCCTGCTTAGAGCGCACCATCGACCTCATCACGGTGGCCTGGCTGTTGCTGCGGGGTGCGGGGAGGGCACTCCATTCTTTCCCATGTGTCTCCACTCTGTCTGGAGAGTTTTCGGGAGAAGGGTCTGTGACCTACAGTAAGTGACGACGTGGGAGCAGACACTGAGCTTGATCCAGTCACTTGAACCAAACGCCTCGTCCCGGGCCAGCTGGCGTCGCCCTGGATGTTGGGGTAACCCGGGGTAACCCGCCACGCTCTGCACCCTCCACTTCCTCAACGGTGCTGCTTGGAAGGCGGGACAGTCCCCACATGCGCGTCTAGGGGAGGAGTGTGGGCGGTTCCCGCGCAATCGGCACTTTATCAGGACCCCGTGGTGGCTGAGCGAGCGTCCTGGCGCGGCGGCTGTGAGGGCAGGGCCTCCTCGCTGATGCCCGGCCTGGACTCGGGCTCCGGGCTCCTCTCCGCGGGGCACCGCCCTGGGCTCCAGGCTGTCCCTCTGAACTGGCCCGGTTAGCAATATCCTTTCACGTGCAGGACTGAATGACACTTTTAAAACAATGACCATTATCAAAACGTGTAATTTCTTAATTGGAATAATAAATTAAGTGTTAAATGCTATTTGTAGTCTTGATACACACAGAAATAAAATAATTAGGGTTTGTCCTTGTCGGTTTTATTTTTATTTCAGGCTGTTTTATGTCGAATGTTCTGTTTCCTCTTTGCTTACCAGTTAATTTGTACATTTTATTTTCAGTATTTTGAAAACACCTGGGATTGAAAAGAAATGGGCAATTATACTTATTTGATTTTTTCTCAGTGATTCTGAGCTTATTTATTTATCTGTATGTTCCAATGGCTAAATATTTGCATTAAATGTTTTTTCCCAAGGTTGTGTTGGAGTCATACCCCAAATAGTTGTAGTTGGTTCTATTCTGCCCTAGTAATACCACAGCTTCTGTTACCTGTGGGCATGCTGAGGGGGCTGGGCCAGGACTGGCAGTACCCTCCTCATCCGGCATCAACTACCCCCCACTCTCCACTCTCATCGGACAGCACCACGGTGCTGAGGACAGTGAGTCTGCAGGGGTCTCCCACCCTCGCAGGGTTAGCCTTCCCTGCTGTTCCACTCTCACTGCTGGCGCTGTGCTCAGAGCCGGGTGCCACGTGAAGGGAGGCTGTTCCGGCGTCTGACACGCTGTGGTCTGCACATAGGTATTTGCCGGGTGTCCTGGGTGCTCGGTGCCGCATCCATTTACAGCTAGGGTTCAGGATCTGAAGAAGGGGCCGCACACAAATGAAAACACTAGACAAGAAATCTGAATTCAGAAGACATGGGGGCCAGGCGGAAACTTCCCTCTGGTGCAGAAGCTCGCTGAAACCCTGGACCTGTCAGCTTTTATTCACTTAAATACACATTTGCCCTTTAGGAATGCATACAGGCATATCAAAGATAAAGGTTGGTAAACAGTAAAAGGGTTATCAGGTTAGGGAATTGCCTTCAGCCATTGAGCCCACAGCAGGGCAATATTCAGCCCTGCTGAGTATCAAAGTCCATTGGCCTTCCAACGGGTCTTTTTGCATAGTATGCTAATTACTGTTGGTTTTAGCCTCCCGCACTCTGTGTGCCCTCCCCAAGTGCTGCCCATGACCCATGACTGGCTGCCGGCCTGGCAGCCACAGCCTGGACCATGGGCCACCCAACCGAGGCGGGTGCTGGGGTAACCGTGCAAGAGGCTCCTGAGGGGGTGAGGACAGGTACAGCTAGCCTGTAAGCTGCTAAGACTGAAGAAAGACAAACAGCTAACAGCACATAATGCAAATAAAACAGGAACTCGGGGCCTAGGTAGCAGCCTCAGATAAGCTAACCACAGCTCATGGCTGATTTCCTACAGCCAGTCCCCCAGAAACAAATGTAAAACCATCAGCTCTCCCAAACTTATCCCCTGGGTCAGAGGGCTTTGCAAGAGTGTGGTGACCCGTGTGTGGTGAGCTGTCTGGAGATGAAGGAGGGGAATGAGCTGGCTGCAGGCTCTGTGCATCTCTGCTTCCAGAAGATTCTGGGGGCGAGTGAGAAGCCCAAGTACTTTGTGCCTCTGCTTGCATGTGTGTGAAGTGAGGCACCAGATACTCTGTCTTCACAGGGTGTCCTTACTGTGTGGTTTGAGTCACAGGGTGCAGAGGTCACTGCAGCTCTGAAGTCCCGCCCATGCCCCAGGGTACCCAGCACCCTTCCCTCACAGAGCCGGGCAGGGACCAGCGCCCGCACCCCATTGTTTCAGAGGGGGATTCGTGGTGCATGGGGGCTGCTGTTCCTGGGGGACTGGATCTGCATCGGTGGCCTGTGCGTCATGTGTAACCCAAGTGATTGACACGCTCGCCCGCCTGCCGGCTCCTCATCCAGCCCGGCCTCCCTGGGCAGAGCCAGTGTCCTCAACCCCCTGTCGTGTGGGCAGAGCTTGCGCCTCACAGAGCAGGACCCCGATCCAACCATTCCTTGCTGACAGGCCCTCTGCTTCCTGGTCTCCAGGGCCCAGGCTGTCCCAGGCTCTTCCTGGTCAGGGTCGCCTCTCCTTGCACCCCTCTCCCAGCACCCCGCCCTTCCTTGCCCATGTCCTCTGGGGCACAGTCTGTCTAGTTCATGTGTTTCACACATAGTCTTCCCACCTGCACTAGAACCAGTGTCATTCAGGCAGGAGTTTCTTTAGCAGCCGCTGTCACCAAGCACCGGGAACACTGCCCGCCCGTCCCACCAGGTAGACCCCGTGTGCACAGGGACTCAGCAGCGAACATATGGATGGGACCTCACCAGATGCTTTTCCGCGAAGACGGGCAGGCGGCTGGGTGCGCTGAGCACCGGCCTGCGCGACACTCCCAGGAGAGGACAGGTGGGAGGGCGAGTGGGTGAGGAAACCTCACAGTAAAAACAAGAAACTTTTATTTGACGTTTGTATGAATCAAATGACAGTATTGTTTCTCCTGAAGGGTCACCGTGAGGGCTGCCGGCCATCTGGGTCGGGGAATTCTGTATTTCATAGACCGTGCGCCCATGTGCTCCTCTCAGACTCCACCACACTCGGGCTCCTCCTGCCAACCCTGACACTGCGGCCACACTCGGGACTCCCTCCCCATCCCTGTGGCCGGGGACCAACCTCCACTCAGTGACTCCCCTGGCTCGGCTGCGGTGGGGACAGTGGGAGATGCTGTTAGATCAGCAGAGGGGAGCCCTGCGTCTGGGGCTTTGCTGGGTCGGGCACCTTGTGCACCGCGCCCCTGGCTGCCCTGCCAGACACAGCCTTGGGCAGCGGCTGAGCGGTGGCCCCGCCTCGGGCGCAGAGGCCTCGGCGGAGGTTCGGAGCTGCCAGGTGTCCCAGGGCCACGGCCTTTGAGGCCAGGAGACCAGCCAGGCTGCTGAGGGGGGCGCACCTGGAGGGCCTCGCAAGTGTGGGTTCAGCAAGCAGGTGAGTGTGGGTCTCCAGGAAACAGCCCCCGCAGGAGGTGCAGAGGTCAAGGAAATGGCAGGACTGGGGACACGTGGGGAGAAATGTCGCAGGTTTAGGAGAACGACCACCTACAGACACCTCCTGTGCGGTTGCCTCTGGTCACAGTCCACGGCCTGTTCACTGCGGGCCTTGAGCCCAGCCAGGGAGGCCTGAGAGCCCTGACAACTGGGTGCTGGGAGCTCGGTCATGGGCCGAGGGAAACGAACAGGAAACGGAGCCTGGTGTGTCCCTGGGGCCATGGGGTTGGTCCCGCCGGAGTGGGGGACCACGAAACACTGGGAATCCACCCCTGGGTCAGGCCCACGGGCCAGCTGATGGGACCCGGCTGCCAGGACAGAACAGGATGGGAAGGCGGCAAGGGTGATGGAGCGTCTGCAGATGAGAGAAGCTGCGTGGAGGGCCTGGGCCGCCACTAGGGGCTAACCAGGATGGCGGGGATTCTGCGAGGAAGCCTGGGGGGTGGGGGGCAGTACCCCGGACTCACCTGCTGATTGCCAGGGGAGGGGGAGCGTGCATGCGGCACTGTTCACGTGCAAACCACCGTGAGCAGGAAGAGCCGTGACAGGGACTCCGGAGTCGTCTGCACCAGAGACCCAGCCTGCCTGTCCCCACCACTGCCACCACCACCCCACCCCCGACCCAGCGGAGGCACCACACACACCGCAGTCCCCAATGTAGCCAGCAGAGAGCGCTGGGGCTGCACACAGGCCACATGACCCCAACACACACACACACACACACCCCAGATGCACACATTTATGCATATACACACATGCCCCCAAAAATGAACATACATGTTCCTATACACACCATCACATACACATGCCTCAAACACACACAAGCAAGCGTATACACACGTGTGCACACACCTGCTCCCTGTGCATTGATGAGGTGGAAGTGTCACGGACTTGCAGGGCGGCCATGCCAGGTTTCGGATGGGGCGATGGTGAGCACAGGGACCCAG